CCTGAGATTTTTCTACGTTGATACCAAATGAACGTAACTAACCGCAATGAGCATTAAAAAACACCAGAGTCTAACCAGTGGTACCGAAGGTCATGCTCTTGAAGAGTCACTCAGTAAACACTAACTCGACCCTGCGCACGCGCACTCGACTATCTTTTTCAAATCCCAAGAAACGATAAAACATCAATTGGAATATCTCCTTGACAGTTCGTCGTTTAGTCAATTAATTGCCAGTCAAATAACCCTGAATGTTCCATTTCTATTTATAAAACTGTCTCAAGAGCCACTCACCTCCTTATTCTGTCCTTTCTTTCAACAACTTCTCAGCTCGTTCCTCTTATTTCACCATCCCAACCACTGAACCTTCACCTTATCCACTGCACCCTTTGCAGTCGCATCACACACATCGCAATTTGATCCTCAAATCCGTGAAAGTGATCCCCGTAAAGCTAAAAATCCCCCGATCCGACAATCAACCTCAAGTCTTCATCAACTCCTTAAAGATCCCCTCCGTTAAACATCACCTCAACATTGCCCTGGCGCACCCGGCTATCATTTTAAATCCCGAGAAACGATAAAACCTCAATTGAAAGATCTCCTCGACTATCCGTCGTTTTGTCACTTAATTGCCAGTGAAATAACTCTGCATGTTCAATTTCTATTTATAAAACTGTCTCAAGTGCCACTCACCTCCTGCCCTTTCTGTCAACTAATTCTCTACCTTCTTTTTTGATTTCCCCTCCCTAACCTTCACTGAACCTTCACTCCACCCTCTGCATTCGCATGACACACGTTGCAATTTGATTGACAAATTCCTGAAAGTGATGTACGTAAAATAATCGAGGATTCAACCCTGTCAATTCAAATAGTCTGCTCCCTTCATAAACTCTCGCGCATTCATTAAATTTTCCCGCGTTGAATTTGAAAAATCATTAGTACAGCCAGGATGGCGTCAACATCCGTGCTACCGAGCCACTCACGAGGCACTAACCGATGAAAGATCTCAACGCGCGAGGTATAGAGGTAATCCCCCAACACAAACACATTCGAGAAAAATGTTAAAGGCACATGCACGAGGTGCCTTCGACAATTCGAGAGACTGTGCTACTGACAGAGAGGAAAAAAACCAGAGGAGTGAGAGAGAATGAATAAAAGGTATTGTAGTGGGAGGTAAATGGGGTAGTGGTGGCGGTAACGCGTGGACAACCGGCGGAATTCCAGGTAGAGGAACCACGTGGATCCTCCTGGGGATTCCTGGGGTCTACCGTTTTTACGAAAGCAACAAGAAAAGGGACAATGACGTAAGAGATAGTTGGGCCCTTTTTCACAATGGGAACGACCTTTCTTTCGTAAATAAAAAATGTAAGCAGTGCAGATTTTTTTTTCAAGAAAATTCTTTCCGTCTATCGAGGACACTTTCGCGGAGAAAACTTTTTTTGTAGAAATCATTTTATGATGATATTATTATTTATAGTTTATCATTTGACCTCAATCATTTATTTTCCTCAATTATGAATAATTACAACGAAACGTCTTAAATTCCAATTAAATCATAATGATACTGGCAGAAAGTTCTATCTGCATCTCCAGTGGAATTTTCAAGAATTTCGTTGCTGAAGATTCAAAATTTTAGAAAGATCAGTAGAAAGAGTGAATTTTAATTCAATTATTTCGTCAAGTTACGTCGCGTTATTTGTTAAGTGTTAAATTTTAATGAAGTTTCAGTCAAACTTGAAACTACATGATTTTTTTCCTTCAAGATATTTAACGATCCTCTCCTCAAAATTACTAGTCAGTTGCTCAGAAATTTTCCATTTTCTTCCAACAGCGCACTAAGACACCGGTAATATAATTTTCTGTGGTTTTATGGAAGAATTAGAGGCTTGTTGTATCCCCCCAACAACACGGGAAAACGACTTTCCTCATTTCGTTTTTATACTACGTCATGGGCAGCGATGACTACAGGTGGTCTTGTCGGTATTTCCTGGAGGCTCTTTACAGATGAAAACGGCGAGAGCAAAACGTGCCTTAAAAATGTCCACAGAGCTCCCACAATTTAATAGGTGTTTCCCTGCTTCGCAGAAGCTTTTTCGTCTCCACCAGAGACTCACAATAGCTTCCCATTTAAGAAGAAAAAAATTGAGGGGAGAAAAAGACTACATGGGCGTTCAGCATTTCTTCTTTTCCATACGAAAAAAATTTCAACTGATCCAAGCCGATATTCAATGAGAAAAATCGAGGAGTCGATTGATCAAAGAAACCGATGTTTTCAGTCTATTTCAAAGCCAATAATAATGAAGTGATGGGATAATATGGACATCATTAAAAATTGTTCTATTCCTAATTTTTTACATTTTTTCATGTTTAAACAAATAAATCGACAGAGTAATTTAGCAATTAGTTCATTGATAGACTGTCAAGTGCGATTGTCCAAAAATAAAAAAAGGAACCTAGTGCTAAAAAAAATCGCTAATAATAATGTACATCACCAAATAGGCCTGCCATTCTAATTGGCTCCGCCTCAAAAACTTTTTTTGTACTCAATTTATTCCATCATTGAAACCTAAAAAAATTATTTTTTTCGAAATCATGAATTTGACATTCAATCTGATAATGCTTAAATGATTGTCAATTGTCGATTGTCAATTTAGATAGTACCCTATGCTGGGATGCGAGATAAACTTTCGACAGTCTCAATTGCCAGTACACCAATTTAAATAAAAACATGTGCATATTATCCCACACTCCGTTAAATACTTTTGATATAAAAAAAATGTTTAACAATCGATTTCTTTCCACCATCGTCCATAACGATTTACTTGTCAGTCGAATATTTTTATCAGAGAGAACTGAATGGGAAAATACTCCCATTGTTTCTCTCTACTCGTAAAAAATCTCCAATATCAATTGATATGCGAATAATAACAACATTAAAGTTCTCCATTGAATGGAATTGATATCTACGATTGGAACCACCCACATGGATATTATTCCCCCAACGAGAAGTATATGTTGCTCTATCAATAAAGCAAGTACCAGTCAGGATTTATAATCCAATCGATTGAGACAATCCACCGGGATCAAGTGGTTGAGAGCATAACGGTTCAATGAAGACGTTCTGAACCGTGTGATGCTTTTTCCACGATCCCCAGTGACCCCTTCGATATCCCAAACTAGCAAACACATCATTTTCTCGTTATTATTTCCTTTTTTCACCTTCACTTTCTCATTTTCCATTCCTTTTACTCCAAGTGAGCGTAGAGTTGAGGTATTGATCAACGATGTTAATTACTAGTGGTTATCTCCAGGGTCTCGTGACTACAGAATACCGAGAAAGGTGAGGGTACGCACACAAAAAACGATTCCTAATATGTGTACAATACGATAAAAATGTCCATTAAGTACGCCGGAAATGGCAATCAAAAATCGATGAATATTTTGAAAACGATTCGAGAGGAAAAGAACTCTTCAAAGAAATTGAACACTTTTAATTATTTATGCGTCTGGGTTATCAACGAGGGTTGAAGGCAACAGTGAGCGAGGGAAATATTTATTTATAGATAATCGTGGAAAGTCGTTAGGTGAGCTTGACTAATACGAATGAGTCATCAAAATACGTATACAGTTGGAGACAGAGGTGCTTCATGAAATAGAAATAGATTGGGTCGTGTCCCGGTTTTCGAAAAGGCATTTCGCTCGGCTTCCGGATACACAAGACTCACTTTGTTATTTTTTCACCTCAAATATTGTTCTTAAATTATAATTCCCATTGATCGGCAGTCTGTTGTATAACCTGTCATGGTTCTTACAAGTGTTGCTACAAGAAGTTGCAAGTTGCAGGGTACACGAGAAAAACATGTTTTCCTTTGGGAAGTGAGTTTGTTAGAGATAAGTTCACTTGAGATGGGAAGAATAGATTGTTTATGGAGTACTCAAGGAGTTGCAAAATGAGAATTAGAGAATTATGAGGGAAATGCAGTAGAGAAATGAGCGTTATTTTTTGTCATTTCGACAATCGCTTCGGGAAAACATTTCAAGGTATTCCAGTGCAGGTAAAACCTTAAGAAATGAATGTTGTGAAGGTTGAGGTCGATTTGGTATTTTCCAGATGTTCATTCGATAATTTTTTTCATGGAGTAATTGACAACTCGTCAATTAATCCACATGTAGCAGAAGTGATAACGATACACCACAGAGCCAGAGCAATTGATTGAAACAGCTCTTCTTGTACACAAAAAGGGGTCATATGGAATGAAATTGAGCGCAACGTCAATATTGAAGCCATCGATCGGTCGATTACACCGGGTGCACATCAATGCGAATGAATTGAGCGTTGGTAATTGATAGAAAGCGAGATAAACCCGATGAATGAGCGAATGGCCCGCAGTACCAAAATAAACATTTGGCAATGGAAAAAGAATAAATTTTTCAGAGAAGCATGTGCTCACGGTAAAAACAAACACCGAATGAATTTGAAGAGGGGGCAAGAGGTGATAATAGATGTTTCATTCGGGCTTATGCAAATTGCCGACGAATGCCCGGATATGACGTGGCCCGTTTCCCGGAGATGCATTGGTAATCCATAAAGGAGCGGCCCATTCATGTTTGCCTACTCTGAGAATCCTTATCTCTAGGTCATCTATGGGTCTTAATGAAAACGATATCTCTCAACTGGCCCCTTGTTTTTTTTTCCACAAAGAAAAAAACTTTCATGCCAGCAAAGAAGTTTCTAGATTTAATAAAACTTCTTCATGCTGGAAAAAAGTTATCTTCTATTTGGAAACTTCTTTTCTAACATCAAGAAATTTGACTCAGCATAAAGATTCTCCACGCAATCTTACGAAGATTGTTGTGCAAACTTCATGAAGATTGTCGACAGATATTTTTTCAGACGGGACTTTCATGACGAACGCAATGTACTTGGGAAAAATCAATTGTCCCCCCGGCATAATATTATTGATTCAGAGAATTGAATACTCGTATGAAGTGATAGGACTCACCATTTGCTGAGCGTTCTTGGGCTTCCGGTTGATGTCTATCACCTTTTGATTGGCTAAAAAGGAGAAACAACGTGAGGTGAATACTTGAATATTCGATTGTCGGGTGGTGCATGCAACGCAGTCTTTTATTATCTTTCAAATAAATTTCATGCGGATGTACCGTTAAGAGATGGTTTATTTGCATTCAATAAAATGGAAATTATTTGCGTAGATGATTGATTGGCATGCGGCAAATGGATATTGAAAATGATAAATGAATGAGCTCAAGTGAATGAAGAGAATGAGTGAATGAACACTCGATGATTAATTCTATCGTTTATCATCAGATATTACTCGATGGGCCAATTTAGTCATGACCATTGATGATTAGCGAGCATTAGAGGGGGACTATATTTAGAATTTAATGCCAAGAATTGCGAGTCCACGAGGAGAACTGCGAAATTGAGATGTAAACGAGATTGCAACTCTTGAAATGTAAAAAAAAAATGCGCAATCGAGATATATCAAATTCCCCGTGCACTCGCGACCCACTGACGCGTGACCCATGTCGCCAGTTTAACTGCTGCCTCATGCCTCTTCCCCACATTTATAATTTCTCTCTTGGATTTATGCATTACTTGGGTAACTGTCCAGTGCCCATAATTGAACGAACTTAACCGTTCGTATTATACTGTTAGTCAATACCCAATTATTATGTACCCAATTATTAAGTTTACTATGTTGTCTTGAAAACGTAATAATGTTGTCACTCATGCAATGGAGTAAGACATGCTCTACAAGTCTTGGTTTTTTGGTCTTTGCGTGAAAATCATCGGAAAATGAATTTTGAAGGGTAGAAGATAATCTTTGAAAAATTCCGCCGAAGAAGAGAAATATTGCTGTGTACAGTGGGCGATAACAATCTTAAATGACTGATTGAGTACTTACTGACAGCCTCGACAAGATCTGCCAGCAGGACACCGTCGCAGAGGTCGGTTTGAAGGTCACTGACCCGCCTTTTGCAGCCACCGCGCTCGAGGTAGTGATTCGCCCAGTCGGTATAGATCTGAAACAACGGGGAAAGGAAAATTCAATTGAAATTTTCATTGATAAGGATCATTTGATAGGTTACAGTGAGCGCAGGGGATTAACGATGGTATGATAAAGATCGTGGATCATTAGTCGATCGTAACTCGACGAAGGGGCAATCGTTAGGGGTTCTTACAATGATGAGTTAATGATTCTTCAACTCTTCCCTTTCTCCTCACCCACTGCACGTTCCCATCGACAATAATTGCACAGTACTCTCTCACCTGGCAATATCATTACGTCAGCGCGTGATCGCACGGATTAAATCGTTGAGGCTAACTGTATTTTCACGGTTGATGGAAAATTTCATCACTCATTTTTTGTGGAAGTCATGAAAATGTTCAGAGTGTCATTAGCAGGTGATTTTACTGCTATTAGAAAATATCATTGTAACTGATATTTCCAGGAATTTCTAATAGTGTCCATTTCAGCAATTTTTCCACTTTGTCAATAATTGAATGACTGCGTGAAAATTCTCACTCATCAAATAACCGTGCAAAATTTTCGTACGCGAGGAATTGTCTGGATTGGTGAAAACAAAAGATGCTCAGAACGTGGAATGAACACGTGCGACCTAATATCACCGCAGAAAAGATTCATAGTGATACAGTGGCGTGTCCACAAAGAAAGAAAACAGTAAGAAAAAAAATAAGAGGTAAATGACGCTGGGGTAGTGAAAAGGGTTAGTCACACTCTGCCAAGAGTCGAGTCACACTTATCTTGCACTTATTCCTGGCTGCACTTATCCTCCCTTCTTATTCGCTACACCCAAAGAGTTTGTTCTCTCTTTTCTGAGCGTGTGTTTTCAACCCGAGAGAAACGCCGGGTACTATTTTTACCACCGCGAAAGAGGGAGGTGAGACGAGAGTGAGATTTGACGAGAAAAAGAAATTATTGGGATATACTTCAGGACGAATGCGCATTCTCTTGATCGTAAATAACTCATTTAATGTTGTCTAAAGAACATTAATAATATTATGTACCAAGTGTAATTGGATCTGTAAATCACGATGTTTGGTTTTTGTGTTATTTTTGTGGCACGTGACCTGACGAAGCACGCCACGTGGACACAAACACATGAAATGTATCACCAGGGATGGGGGAGAAAGCAATCTTCATGTGTGTTGTAGATAGACAGAATTTCTCACAGAAATCTGAACGATAATTTATGGGAAATCTATCGGAAACTATATTCGCCGAATGCAACTGCACTGTTAGAAATCATCGAAATTTTCAATTTTAGGAGTTTGAATTCAATTTCAATTAAATACGGTAACTAAATTTTTCGCTCATTTTGAAAATTCTAGAAGATTGGGGTGTTCATGTTAAACCATAATTGATTTTTCAATGAACGATTGAATTTTTAGAATGATCCTGAGAATAAAAGAAGAAACACAAATTATTGAGTGAATTCTCAATATTTTCCGCGATTTGCAACGCAAGAAATCAAGGGAATCGTCAATGAAGAATTCTACAGAAATTCCATTTCACTTTGTCGTTGCTAAAAATGTCAAGTGTAATTTGCCAACACAGTGCACTGTTCGAAATTACCATTTGTAATGAATAGACGGCTATATTCACTAATTTTTTTGATCATATGGACTATTCCACCCCTGAATATACCTGAACAGTACTCCTCGTGGAGTCTGCTTTGACATCATCGCACGAGTTCCTGAGGGATCGTGTAGCTCTGATGCACGCCATCACCTCCAACCCCGAGAATTCTTCAGCTCAACCCCCAAGGGCAGATTATACTGCATCTATCAATCACTGACTCGAGTCACCCAACACTTTTCCGCATCCCAAAAAGTGGAGGAGATCGATTGTCTCTCAAAGTTATCGACTTAACCGACCAGAGAAAAATTATTTTGATTCAATAAACTGTTTTCTTAGATGGAAATACTGCACTTTTAATTAATCCATTATTTTCCAAGATGAAGAAACTTTTTCACTCTGCGAAGAGAACAGAAAGAACATTCGCCTTTCACATCCATCAGCTACCCCACCCCCAACGGTCAACACTTGATGAATAAAGAAATTACACGATTATCCAATTTATATGATTTATCGCAATGTCAACAGACAAACGTGAGAGCTCAACAAACACTCGACTGGTATCACGAGATAACTATCGTGTTTATCCAATTGATAGGGTGTTCCATGAGCCAACGAGACACTGAATTATCGAGTGAATTTTCACCCCGACGCATCTTAACTCGTTTTGAAGAAGTCATCCACGACGGACTCAACGGCTCGACGCACCGGACGTAACTGAATACTCCGGAATACGTCGAGGCCCATGTGCCTTTGAGGCACACACCCGTGCACTAGCCCGTGCACAGATATAACCATCGTCGTAGGTAGATTTTCTCGCCTGTTTCTATACACTCAGGTCTTCAGGCCTCCCACTTCTGCGGCTGCCATCGGCAAATTTCCATCAAACGTCACCGACCAACATCGGCTCCAGCGAGCTGCCACCTTCACCACCACTTTGTGGTCACTATTTTGATTGATGTCCCGGGGGGATTAATCCTTTAGGGCTTGGGGTGGGTCAGGGCGCCTCCCCATTATTCGGCTAATATTCGAGGAGAAAGTGGTGAACCAGGAGACGATACCCTTGAAGATGGCCGAGTACTATTTTCAATTCGCGGTGAACCCAACCGTATATTCTACACTTTTCATTATCGTACTCGTCCAGCTAGTGGTTACTTGGAAAAATTATAGAATCATCCAGATAGTTTTCCAAAAGTTCGCGTCAATTTTCGGATTTTCTAGAATAATTTGAACAAATTGCGATCCTTAACGGTTTATAATGGATTGTTAGAAATTTCTTAAAACTTTAGTCACAAAGTTAAGAGTTTTCAGCCATCTGAGGTTTAATTCAATTTCAATTAAAAGCCGCGACTAAATTTTCCATTTATCTTCAAAAAAATATAATTGATTTTTTAATGCAAGCTCGTATATTTCTGCTCATGCCATTCGCAAAAATTCAATGTCCAATAAAATCGAATTTCAAATATATAATATTAAAAATATATAATATTATAATATTCAAATAGATTGAAAGTTCAAAGCATATGTCTTATATAATCTGAATTTGGAAAATGTCCACGTTTTTCCAGGGGGATTATCAGAGTTTTTAGTGGAATAGTAGAATAATTATTGACAATATATATTTCCAATAATAATAATAATGAGAAGAAGGATTAGACGGGCAGGACTGTTCTCCGACCCGTGACGTTTCAGCCACAATTCAGTCGTCAAAGGTCATATGAGAGGGGAATTAGTTGAGGGTACGATGAGCATTCCCGACAGGCAGAGCCATCGATTTGCTATTCGCGAGGGCTCGCGTATTATACACATGAGTACGGGCGTCATTAATTGTAATGCCGGTTGGCATGTCGAGTTAGCCTATAATGTACGCAAACTGAGGTGAGAGTTGAGTCTCTTGCGCATATCGATCAGCAGTGACAGATTCCTGATTTTCCATAAAAAAAAAACAAAAAAGTGATCCGCTGTCGAAAATTTTCTCAATTTTTACGAAAAGCCGCACCTGATCGTCCTATTTTTATTCAATTTACGACAAAAAAAAAATGAATGCAAAAAATTGTCATTCACACGGAGAGAAATAAATAGTTCGCTGGTTGCGCAAGTATTGCTGAGGGATTGGAGAAAAGACACGGGAGTTTTATTGAATATATTTCACGTGTTATTAATGAAAATTTATCAGAATTAAATTGAATTTTCAAAAACAATTTTGTAACAATGACTTCTCATTGTCCTTCACGCCCCCCTCCCCCACTGGTTCAATAAATTAAATGACCGTGACCATTATTCAATTAGAATTAATTATACGCGATCATTATTCTATTATTCTCCTGGCAATTCATGAAATCGAACGGAACAATAATAAAATAATGTGAGCAGATAGGATTGAAATGAATTGAATCAAGCGAAAATGCACGTGCTCTGCCCCAGTGAACTCTTCCAAGTGTATTAAATGGAGGATTTCATCCGGATTTTACAATATGCTGAGGCACTGGACGCAATGAAATTGAGGCCTCTTCTCGGCATTATATTGTAAAGGTTTGAAAGGTTTATGTTGGGATGAAAATTCGAGATATATATATGTACCGCTGTCACGCAGAATAGCCGCCGACGGGTGTGAGGGCCTTTGTTGCCTTTTGCCTTTGGTTAAGGGATTCGGTATTGCCCTCTCCCTCTCATCCCGCAATTGGCCACTGTGCGTCAAAACGGGGGACACGACGAGTGCGCAAAATTACCTTCTCCCTCTTTCTCCTCTTTCTCCCTCTTTGACCCTCTCTCTCCTCCCCTCCCACGCTCTCTCAAACCCCGCATTTTTCCTCTCATCTTTCATTAAAAAACTTTTTACAAACCTAATTGACGACTTTATTGGAACGAGGAAACGACGCGAGTCGGGAAAACAAATTGACAAATGACGAAAAAAAATGTCAAAGCTAAAAATGCAAAATAATAATCATAGTAATGATGGAAAAATTACGACAGGACGATTTTTATAGAATGCGGGGATCTGAATGCCGTTGAACTGTTCTACTTTGCTTTTGGATAAAAAGTTTTTCTCGGATAAAGAATGGAAAGCAATTTTTGGTGGTATATAGAGCGAAAAGGATCATTAATGAAATTACATGATTTTTCAATACCAAATTGCGATAAATTCGATTGAAATGTGTCTTTTTGGAAAATTGAAGAGTAGTAACCCCACAGTGTAATTGACCTACTTCCCCTTCCCAGAAAACCAAGAAAATAAGAGATTAACGACGAAGGCGAGGTCTCAAATAGAATAAAATACTAGTCTCCGGTTGTTTAGGAGTCGCCACGTTCCTCTTTATTTTTAAAACCCGAGTATTACGAGAATATCCCGGAAGGAAGTGAGGGCGACGTCCTCTCTCTCGTCTATTATCGCACCATTTTTTTTATTTCTCCCGTCATGTTGAC